ACAGAGACAGAGACAGAGACAGAGACAGAGACAGAGAGAGAGAGACAGAGAGAGAGAGAGAGAGAGAGAGAGACGGAGAGGATCTTATAGAAGAGATCCCATAGCGGCGCAGGGTGGCTTTTTTCCAGGAAAGGATAACAATATTCATAACATTTTCTGAAGAGCCGTTGGAAAGAATGCATCAGTCTTCATGAGAACTCAAGTGACAAATTGCCGAATGTTGAATGTTGATACATCTCTTTTCAAATGATAGAGGGAGAGAAGAGAGAAAGAGTGAGGGGAGATAAGAGGAAGAAAGAAGGCGTTGAGATGGAGAGGGGGGTGGAAAGATTTGCATTATTTTTGTTTTTACATTGTATTACTATTCATTTATATTATGCATGTGACTGTGAGCATGTTGGTAAGTGCAAGCATACTATCTTATCATTATGGTTATGTGCACAGATGTGTGTGGAATAAAGGATGTATGAGGGAAGAGTGAGTGTGTATATGGGTGTGCATCTGCGCGTGCGTATGCGTGTGTGAATGCGCATGTTTGCACGCGCGCGCGTGTGTATGTGTTTGTGTATGTGTGTGAGTGTGTTTGTGTGTGTGTGTGTGTTTGTGTGTGTGTGTGTGTGTGTGTGTGTGTGTGTGTGTGTGTGTGTGTGTGTACGTGGTAAAACACCCAACCAATGTGCCAGGATTTGAACACTATTGAGGTATCTTATCTTTCATCTCTTATCGTATGATAGGTTGGTAGTAAGTATTAGTACTATTAGGTAGTCTCTTCCTAGACTGCCAGGTACTTAAGACGGAGTACAGTCGACGCCACGCTTGCCTGTCCCCAGCCACCTTCTTCAATCTTAGCACATCCAGGCCCTGGGCGATTGCCTCATTCCTTTTATTCTGCCTCTATAGCTTCCAGTTGGTCTTCCTCGTTGTCTTATTTCATTTAGTCTCCAATACCATGATAGCTTGCCTGAAATCAGAGTGGCTTCAGCACCGAAAGCGGCGCAGTGGATGCGATCTTTGCGGCCTGGTAAATCCCAGAAAAATTCCCAGAGCAGAACAAAGCCTTATAATATAAAGTGGCGTCGGCGGCCTAGTGGTTAGGCTCTCGGACTCGCAACCGTAAGGTCGTGGGTTCGAATCCCTGTCAAGGGCCCGACGTTGTGTCCTTGGGAAAGGCACTTTACACGAATTTTCCTCACTTCACCCAGGTGGGAATGGGTACCCGGCTATAGACAGCGAAAGATCTTGTCAGTTTGTTAGTGTTTGAGCGCTTAATCGGCTGCTTGCACTGTATGCTTCCCGGGAAGCTGAGAATGTTTCGGAGTGTTCTATGGTCTGCTGGGGTAATAATATAGTGTAAAGCGCATAGAGCCTGCTGTTGAGCGGGGATATGCGCTATACAAATGCTATCTATTATTATTATTATTAAGACGTTTGTTAATCTAACAAGAGCCTTTGATACATGTAATTGATTGCGAAGGCTTATGAAAAATCCTGGCGAAATTTGGATACGGATGCCCACCAAAGTTCATTACTCTGGTTCGTGAATTTTTGGAACTCACAAATGAGGTCTTTCAGCTTGTTAAAACGTGCCAGGCATTATATACTTTGAAATTGATAGAATATGCGCAAAGTTTTGTGGCACATTAATATAGGTGCTATTTTCGCTGCTGTTGTTTTTATGTGGGAGTTTTTGTACTTGTATTTTTTCTTTTGTAGTGTGGATATGCGTTGGTTCGTTTTATACTGTTGTTTCTTTTATAGTTTTAGTGGAGCGCAGGGACTATGCAATTATTTTCTTGGCCATACTTGCATAACATTCTTCCTCCTGAACTTCAAGCCCTCGGAGAGGTCAGCAAAAGCAATGTTTTTGCCGTTTTCCGTGACAGCATCCAGGGAGACACTGTGAGATTTGTTGGCGAAATCGTCGCCCCTGGTCATATAGGCTTCAGTCAAGGCTTCGATGCTGGAAATAACAACGGTGGGTTTCGAACCTAGGTACATGGTGAACACAGGCCCGTACTTGTCCTTCCATTCAGTGGCTTTGTCGGCCAGGCCTATACCTGGGGGTGATAGGAATATGGTTGGTTTGTGTTGGGTCTTGGTAGGATGAAACTGAAGAAGGAGGATGAGAAGAAGAAGGGAGAGGAGGGAAGGAGGAAGAAAAGAAGAAGGAGGAGGGGAAAAGGAGAAATGACGAACGTAGGAAGGCAGAGAAAAAGAAGACAGGAGAAGGAAGAGAAAAGGAGAGTCGGAGAAAAAGGCGGAGAAGACGGATGAGGATACTGAGAAGCCGGAGGAGATAAAGGATGAAGAGGAGGAGAATGAGAATAAGGAGTAGCAAGAGGTGAAAAAAGGGGAATGGGGAGGAGGATGGGGAGGAGAAAGGGGAGGAGGAGAAGGAAAAGAGGCGAAGAGGAGGGAAGAAAAAGGAGATAAAACGATTTATATTTATAAACAAGGAGCACGAGGGGGGAGGATAAACAGGTGGGAGAAGAAGCGGTGGTAAAGGAGAAGGGGG